GGTCTGTAAAGAGGAACGGCCAGTCTGCTGTGGGAAGAGGTGCCAGTCGGTCCCAGGATCATTCCCTGACGGTGCATTCCGCTCGCGCCCGTTACAGGTTAGACATGGCTGCGACGCCACCTTCTGGAACTCCGGGCCGGGAGGCTGCCAGCAGACACTACTGCACCGCGCCGTGGATGAGAACAACGAGGGCGTGGCCTGCTTCCTCGTGCGCAGGTGTGTACCGTTACCTCCTCGCGTTAGCGTATCCAGGAACCACCTGGGCAGTGGGTCTCACCATGGGGCTTGGGGCGCTACCCTGTCTCCAGTGGCTGCGACGTGAACAGCCCCCGGCGGCCGGGTCCCAATGGAGAAGGGGATGAGGAGGCACGGGACGGACAGACACCCCTGCACCTGGCCAGCAGCTGGGGCCTGGAGGAGGTGGTGCAGTGCCTCCTGGAGTTCGGGGCCAACGTCAACGCGCAGGTCAGCTCACTGGGCCCGAGTGGCTGTCTTTGTCACACTCCCATGCCAGGTTCACTGTGCTTCAACATGGATTCCTCTGGGGGAACAGAACTTAGAAACTGCACTCTGCTAGTCGGCTGGGTCATATGTATGTGTACTTCCAATTCAAAGTGGAACCTTCATCCATGCTGTTGGGCGCTGAGATGATGATGATGATGATGATGATGATGATGCTCTTACCCAGTCTCCGTCCTTTGCTGCAGGATGCTGAGGGTAGGGCCCCCATCCATGTGGCCATCAGCAACCAGCACAGCGTCATCATACAGCTGCTTATTTCACACCCGGATATTCGGCTGAACGTGCGGGATCGGCAGGGCATGACACCCTTCGCCTGCGCGATGACGCACAAGAATAACAAGGCGGCCGAGGCCATCCTGAAGAGGGAGTCTGGAGCGGCTGAGCAGGTGTGGGCCGGGTGTGTGTGGGCGGGGCCGGGTGTGTGTGGGCGGGGCCGGGTGTGTGTGGGCGGGGCCAGGTGTGTGTGGGCGGGGCCGGAGGGCACGGGGCTTTGCCACCAGACTCCTCTGGTGTAGAAGCCAGTGTCATGTGTTTTCCGCTTCCTTTCCCCTTTCAGGTGGACAACAAAGGGCGTAACTTCCTGCACGTGGCAGTGCAGAACTCAGACATCGAGAGCGTGCTCTTCCTCATCAGTGTGCAGGCCAACGTGAACTCAAGGGTGCAGGATGCTGCCAAGCTCACGCCCCTCCACTTGGCCGTGCAGGCAGGCTCCGAGATCATTGTCCGCAACCTGGTAGATATCCCTGCTGACCACAGGCCCCGCCCCATCAAAGCACCTTAATGAACTTACCTAACGTGAAGTACTGTATGATGGACATATTTATGGAGGGGACGGGGTGTAAGTCACTACAGAAATAAGCTCTGTATGAATCTGAACCAGGTGGCTTCCAGAGAGGGCTCTTGTAATCTGATCCAAAGGTCACATTTGTTTATGGTATTGAACCTTACACCTAGTTATAATATCATACATATTACCCCTGGGAAAACTGATCATGCCAGGGAATTATTGACAGGCCCCAAGGTAGGCTGGAGAATGGGGAGTGTTGGGTTGAGGGGGGGTATTGGCTTATCCATGCGACACAGGGGTCTGCACACCTGTTACAGCTCCTGGCCGGGGCCAAAGTGAACGAGCTGACCAAGCACAGGCAGACCGCCCTGCACCTGGCTGCCCAGCAGGACCTGCCCACCATCTGCTCTGTGCTGCTGGAGAACAGTGTAGACTTCTCAGCTGTGGATGAGAATGGCAACAACGGTAAGAAGTGTGGCAGATCCAGAAGCCGATGCTGCACATCGGCCTCGATGCAAGTTTAAGATCTCCGTGGTGACTTCCATACTTCTACTGGTAAAAAATGTTTCCAGTTCTGAAGGACAACATAACGTTGTCTCCTTTCCTCCACCCAGCCCTTCATATCGCCGTGATGCACGGACGTCTGAACAACGTGCGAACCTTGCTCACGGAGTCCACTGTAGATGCGGAGGCCTTCAACCTCAGGTGCCTCTCCTCGTTCAGTCTGTCTCTTCTCTGTGGGGGGCCATCCTCAGAGAAGACCTGGAGGGTGCCAAGGCTTCTTGTTAGTTGTCAGGTTCTGTTCTACCTTAAAAAGTCAGTAGAAAGGGTTGACAAAGTTGGTTTATGTGATAGAATCTCTCTTAACATACCAGCCAAGCCTGTCCTGTTCAGACTTTCGGCAAGTCTGTTTGAGCTCCTAATAGCCTGTTGATGCCTTGTGTAGTTAGTGGAGTCTGATTTTCTAATCTGAGAGCCTCTTATGCCTGACAGACCTCGTGTGGGAACCCACAACTATTCCCACGTCTGAACTGTAAGCTGATCAATTGTTGACTGTCAACAAGCGTTCGGGGTTGAGGACGAATAAATGGCATGTGCTTCACAGGGGTCAGTCACCAATGCACGTCCTGGGGCATTATGGGAAGGAGAATGCCGCCGCCATCTTTGAGCTCTTCCTCGAGTGCATGCCAGAGTATCCATTGGACAAGCCCGACAACGAAGGGAACACCGGTAAGTTTGATCATCGTGGCTGGCCACCTTAGAATTGGGGTCTGGTGGTGCTTCATGACTGACCCGCCCCTGATCCCCAATTCTAGTGCTTCTGCTGGCATACATGAAAGGAAATGCCAACCTGTGCCGGGCCATCGTGAGGTCCGGTGCCCGCCTAGGAGTCAATAACAATCAGGGCGTCAACATCTTCAACTACCAGGTGGCCACCAAGCAGCTGCTCTTCCGGCTCCTCGGTAACATCTCATGACGTCGCATGATAGCGGTGCTAAGCTGGGGCTTGGATATTTTGTTGGTGTTCGTTCTTTTGAGGGGCTGATGGAGTTTGATCTGTCTCTTTCCTTGGAAGACATGTTGTCTAAGGAGCCACCATGGTGTGACGGCTCTAACTGTTATGAATGCATAGCGAAGTTTGGCGTCACCACAAGGAAACATCACTGGTAAGAATGCGCGCTGTCTGCATGAATCCCCATGTCATGTTGCTTTTAGAAACACAAGATGGTGTGCTATTGGCCAAAGATGGTCACCTGATCTCCAATGTGACCTTCCCCAGCCGTCACTGTGGCCGCCTGCTGTGTCACAAGTGTTCCTTGAAGGAGATCCCCATCATCAAGTTCGACTTGAATAAGCCCGTGCGGGTGTGCAACATCTGCTTCGATGTGCTGACACTGGGTGGGGTGTCCTAACGCCCCCTTCCCTCTCGCCACCACTGCCACCGCCTTCGTGCCCGGGTCACAGCCGGGGGAACCCTGGGAGAGGCCCACTGGGAAGACTGGACAAATTTCACATCGCTCATATGTACCTTTCCTTCATTGTTTCGTTTTCCACTGCCCAGTTTTTCAGTTTGTGCATTATAGTTCAAGTAGCTTGCTCTGGTGATCAAAGTGTAGCATGAACAAAAGAATGGCTGGAAGTGCGGCAGAGGATGTGGGTCGGGGGTGTCACCGTCACTCGTGATGTTCATGAAGAACCCATTACCGTGGAGATCAGCGATGCACATTTCTAGTCTGGAACGGAATACTAAGTAGTGTTGATCAGTACAATTCAGTAATGTAAGGCTGGGTTCAGCAATTCAGAAAAACTCAATTCTAAGTAAGGAGGTCTCTTACTGGAGCCCCGATATTTATAAAACTTTGAGTGGCAATCTTTAGAGGACACTAACGTGGTAGCAAGTCACTTTTACCGATTAAACGACACTGCGCCTTTCTAGAATGTTATGGATGAAAGCATCACTAGAATACTCACAAGCGTCAGGTACGGGAATGATCTCTGCTTACCGCAGTGAGCTCACCTGTTCTGTGCAGAGCTACACGTTTTAGCCATTTAATCAATAGGTCTGTAGTTTTTTCCCCTGATAGTAGACTAGCCAGTCTACTGTGGATGTGTAGCGTAGACTGCGAGGGGGGCAATGCCATCCCTCATTGGGTGACCTTCCAAAACGGCAAGAACTGCACTTGTGGGAAGACAGAGAGATTGTGTACCTGGATGATTGAGAAACACTTGGAGATCTGTCATGTTACAAACAACAGATTTTTTTTTTATTTTGATGGAATACTAAGAGCTTAATGCATATGCATGAGCTTCCTTTACAGCACATTTAAAGAATCATTTTCAGATCCAAAGGATACATTCCATTTATTGCAGGATTTCTTGCTGGACCTTAATTTCAGTTACTAGTTAAATTTTGAACTGAATGCCATTAACACGTTATGTATGATCTCATGTTTGCTATACCTTTAGGCAGACTTCATCAGAACTACACCATGTCTTACTAGTTAATTTAGAGTTTAGAGAGGATGTGATCACAGTCCATGGTCTGCTCTTTATTGATAAATTGTACAGATAAATGTATAATATTTTTGACCACTATAACTGTTTTGTACTTTATGCAGTTTGTGCTTTTTGTCAATGTGACAAACTTAAACCTTGCCTCAGTTAACCTTTTATGCACATTGTATCGTATCTGTACGCTCAGATATTTAGCCTGTTTCTTTATCGCAGGAGGACAACTTTACATAAAGGTCATCAAAAAGCAGTGTGGAGTCATTTATCCGCGCAGGGGTATGGAGGCGAGCTGTGCGCTATGATTGACGGGGGAGAAAACGCTCTCATAATACAGTTAAATGGCACGAACCATTGTAGAAAGACACTCTGAATACCCCCCCCAGTTTGTCAGTAGCAGGGTTGCCGACTTTTAGTCAGCTGACTGGGGCGTGAGATTTTAAATTCGAGACAAGTCTGCACATACATGTAACCGTTTTACTGACCTGTAAATACCCTGTAGGTTTTGCAAACTACCCCACGCTTTTGATATACCTAATTTTAGCTTTATAATAGAATTATATATAGATTTGCTGTAGGATTGCTTGTGTGAGCGTGAAAATCTGAAATCTGAGCTTGCAACCCTGACTGACTGACAGGGTCCATCCGGACAAATAAGAAACGTTTAATGAGCTTGAACAGCTTATTGATTGGCTTATTTTTATAATGCAGGAATGTGTTTTCAGATTTAACGATCACAATATAAATCCGGAACACACTACAAAGGCTGCGTGTTGCATTCACTGTATAAAGGAGAAATTCAGATCAGTTTGCGGAGTTGTAGAAATTCCTGAGTTTGACCAAAAGAAACGTTTCGCTGGATAAAGAGTTAATAAAACGCGTTCCCATTTTGAAACATTTAAAAGCTGTGGACGGTGCAGGACTCTGCGAGTGGTGGGCAGCCTTCGTACTCCTGCAGGGCGGCGCTGGCTGACAGCTCGGGGTTGCCGCCCGGCACACACACACAGCGAATGCTCCGGGATCCGGCGTTGAACATCTTCCTCGGGACGCCGGCCCAGGGGCGCTGCACCCCGCCACTGCGGCGAGAGAAGACGCAAGAATGCGCAGTTACGGCCTGGACACACAGCGGTGCAGAAAGCAGTGTATAATCATGCATTAGTACAGAGAAACGAATGTGAGCTAAGCAGCGCCGCTGGGCAGAGAGTGGGCGAGTACTACAGCTCCAGGATCGGCGCCATCCGGAGATGGTTGAAACAGAAAATATCAATCTTTATATAGGCCTAGCGCGGTTTTAACCACAGGCTTTATGTATTGTTAGAATATGCTTAAACAATGACTGAATGAATTTTTATTCAATCATGCAAATGCAAAGTAAACTTCAATCACTAGTACATATATAAGATCAATATATACATATACTATAAAGTAAATCTATCATGTAATTATTCATGTTTTGCTAGATTAAATGACGTTCCTGTGTTGTGTGATTGCATTGAATTCCTTTGAATTGAAATGAATTAAATTCTTGTAATTTCAATTCAAATTCCAATTCATGAATGGAATGAGGCACAATTCATAAATTCTGAACAACCTTGGTAGGCACTTAATAATCCAGTTGAATGGTCCTTGAACCATTTCAGTAATGAACAATTCATAAGGAAATACAGGCTGGCCTGGGGTGAAATAATGAGCCTCCTTGGTGTGGTGCAGGATAAAATGAAAAGAGGAACACACTGGAATTATGCCCTCAGTGCACCGTGCAGCTTCTGACAGCTCTCTGCTTCTACGCCACTGGTGGATTCCTGCAGACCTACAGATGCACATGGCCTCACCAAGGCTGCTGTGTCCTGCACCTGTGCATTGTTCACATTTCTTTTGCACTGTGAGCACGACTACATACACTGTCCAGAAGGAGGGGATGCCTTGCATGACACTAAAACAGGTTTCATGCTATTGCATGCACACCTGCCATTGTAGGTGCAGTCGATAGAATGTTCAACCCTAGTCATACTCGCAACATCTTGAATTCTGCACCTGTCAGAAAGGATTCTTGGCACTAGGCCTAAAGGTCCAAGTGATATGCAACCATCAATAACTTTTTACAGACATGATGGCTAAGTGGCCTGGGAGGACACATGATGCTTCTATCTGGTCCAGCTTTGCAGTGGGTTTGCAGTGGTGTTTTTGCTGGTGGCTGATAATTGGGAGACATCATGCATCCTTTTAGCTATAATTCTTGCTAATTCCAGTGTTGAACCCCAAAACATGGCTGATGAGAGGTATCACACCACACACCAAAGAACACAAACTGCTGTAGAGCATGCTCTAGGGATGTGGAAGATGCGATTCTGGTGCTTACACAAGTCCTTGGGAACTCCCAAGATTTTCCCCCGATGCTGCTGTGCTTGTCTTGTTGTGTGGTGTATGCTGCACAACATTGCAGTAGCTATTTTACTGAAATATTTGTATCTCCTCAATAAGTTGTTTTAACGCTTCTTTTGAGAAGTGTTACTTCCTTTGCTGCTCGCCATTGCGGTTTACAAGGACGCAACATCACATTTTGAGCCCATTTATATATTTTCAGCAAAAAGTGTAGGTTAATTTATTATAATCTTAATTTTGTGGCATTCGTGTGTTTCGTCTTCTTCTTTTTCTTCTTCTTATTATTGTTGTTGTTGTTACATTGAATACGTGGGGTCGATCTTACTGTTTTCTACCCCCTGTGCTTTTCTTACTACTTAAAGTTTGTGCCTTAATTCTGGAATAACGAAGTGTTTTGAGGAACAGTCGCAAATCTCAATCCTTCTTTAATTTGTTCGTTATTCGCTAAGATCGATCGCTTTCGGGAAACACCCCTGTTGAGTAATACATGCTGCCGTACCTCTTTTCGGAGCACCACACTCTCCCACCAGCGGCGCTCCACTCGGAGTTACAGGATGGGAAGCGCTTGCTGTCAGCTTCGGCTTCAGCTTTGAGCTCCAGTCCACGGGCCAGGGCAGCTTCCACCTGCCGCAAAGCCTCCGTGGGTTTGCCGGTATCACTGTAGTAACGTCCGATCAGCCTGCCTTCGGTTTAACATACGTGTTTATACTTTGATGCTTTATGTGGTGTCTCACAAGATACGATCTGTGTATGCAATACCTACCTACGGGTCTGTAATCCCGTTGATAGAAAGACAGCCAGTCATACAGGGCGACTACCTGCGACGGTGACAGACCCGACAAGTCATCCATCAGCCCGCCTTCCGTGAAATCCCCGGTAACGAAAGCCCTGGACGCATCTCTGCCTGGCCCATTACATGATAAATCGTATTCTTAATGGGACACCTTTGCAAAGTGTTTTTTTTTTTTTACAGTAAAAATGCACTTGGAGCATGCAAAGAAAATGTAGAAAAGGTACCTGCAAAGAAGTGATAAGCACCGCCGGGTCCGTAGTGCCTGCGCCCCTTGCTCACGTCGAACACCTGCCCCAGCACGGACAAGTACAGACCCTGGCTGCCCACTTCGCCGTCATACCGAGACAGGTCCTGCTGGTTTAACAGGGGCAGTGCGTCCGGAGAAGAGGAAAAAATCGCCGACAGAGCGAGCAGATGTGCGATAACGGCGTCCAGGTCGCAAACGGCGAGGAGCACAGCTGCCGATGCAGCGGCCACGGCGATCAGACACCGTGCCATTAAATACGAATGTTCATTAACGTGCAAAATACTCAGTTTTCACGAGCAACAACGCATAGCAGCAAACTGCGGGTGCACGAGGAGGAAACATCAATGTACATTTCCGGAACAGGATACTATGCATGTTTACGCAATTTCCAATCCAGTTCCAGTAAACCATACTTTAAATCAAACTTTAAGGTTTATTTCACGAGAAACAGCAGACCACACCTCAACCACTCTGAGGTAGTCCGTCAAGTAGGCCTATGTCTCTTCAATATTTGTTTTACGAGCAACAGAAAGATCTTTCGTAAGCCTATAATAATTACTTAAATTTTCGACAGCCAATCACAATGTGAGCCTGCGTAGTCTCCATAATAAGGGGCGTGGTTTACTGGAACTACGTTGGAAATTGCGTACACACTATATGCAATAATAATTACATTTAATCAAGAAAGCATGTCTTATTGACAACGCCGGCACTGCAACATTCCGCATCTTCTTCTTATAATGTCCTGCCATGCCTACTTTTTGCTCATGTAGCAGCAATTTCTGGACTAAACCGTATAGCATTAAGGACTGTACACAAATTTATGGAAAAAAAGATGTTTAAATGTTAATGGGAGATTATTCTAAGGGACAATCTGTGCAAATATCTGTACAATCTGAACATATATTGTCCTATCTAAACCATTTTGCTAAACATAAGCCTGTGTACACTGTGTGTCTCTGTGACAAAACTCAGAAAGAAACAATTATGCAGAAGATCTCATCAGACTGCCACCACACAAATCCCTCCAAGATCACAAACACGGAAAATGCCAGGATGGGGTGCCCACCAATTATGGGGCACATATGCACACCTATGGGCAAGGTGGCAACTCCAATTACCCTCAGCATGTTTGACTGTGGGGGGGACACACCAGACTATCCAGAAGAATCCCTATGATGACATGGGGGGGGGGACTTGCAGACTCCACACACATGGAGCCATGGTGGAGACACAAACTCTGGTCCCAGAGTTGGAGACAGCAGTGCTAACCACTCCCCCACCATAATAGATTATGTAGTATTATTGGTATTGTTGTTGGGACAGCATGGTGACACAGTGGCACTGTTGCCTCACACTTCTGGGACCAGAGTTTGAGTCTCCACCATGGCTCCATGTGTGTGGAGTTTCTATGTTCTCTTTGTGATGTCTTAGGGTTTCCTCTGGGTACTCTGGTTTCCCCCCATCATCCAAAAATATGCCAAGGTGAATTGGAGTTGGCACATTGCCAATATGTGTGAGTGACTGGTGTGTGAGCATGCTCTGCAATGGGTTAGTGGCCCATCCTGGGTTATTCCCAGTCTTGTGCCCATAGGTTCTGGAGCCTGATCCTCAATAGGATAAGCGGTTAAAGAAAGTAGATGGTATTGTTGTTTTTTATGCCTTGTATTATATTGGTGTTGGCTTTCACTGTGTCAAAAGGAAAGCCCTTAAGGCTTTAAGGCGCTTGATTTGTTCTCCGGTGCAGCAGGTGGCAGTAGCGCCTCTCACGGCTTCTGAGAAAAATAAAGTTACAGGGAAACCAACGAAGAAGGTTCTTGCCGTCAATGAATCAAACGCCGACTCACGTCCGTGGCGAAGCTATCAATGATGCTGAATTTTACTTGCGAGTAGCTGTCCAGCCTGAAATAGTTACATTTTAAACCTACTTGTGACCGTAAAATTAAAAAACATGTCGATGGCAGTAGGAAAAAACACTGATATACCGATTGTTATTGCCTGTGGGCCGGTGGCGAACCCGGAAGTGGCGATTTAAAGCACGGAGTCCAGAGTTTTCCGGCCCGCGTGACGTAGCGCCCCGAGGAACCTCGAGCAGCAGAGCGAGCGTCACTACGGTGGTTGACAGCGGAGCGGCGAGCTGGCAGCCGCGGTAAGGCTGCGCCCCTGACGAGCCCCGGAGTAACTGCCTTCCGACCGAGGCGGGGAAGCCCGAACATGGGGAACGTGGAGAGCGGCTGCGGCGGTGGCGCCAGCGGCGACGAGGAGGACGTCGAGACAGACAGCCACGTCTTTGCGGGGGATAGCCCGGCCTCTGCGACCACGGGCGGCGGTGGCGCGGCGGCAGTGAGCGGAGCCTCAGGATCCGGTGGCGTAAGAGGGTCGAACAGGTCTCCCGCGCCGGCCTTCGGACTCCCCGCACCCGAGGACCTCCTGGAGCAAGGCAAACTGAGGTCGGCGGCGGCCCGGATGAGCGACTCCTGGGTTGCCGTTTCGGAGTCGGTGCTTGCCCGGAACGAGAGTGCGCTGGTGCGCTGGCTGGAAGAGCGGCTGGGCCGTGGCGAGGAGACCGTGACGCTTGAGCAGTTCTGCGAGATGCTGGAGAGCCGGGACGCTCCGCGACACGAGTGCGAAGAGGTGCGGTTCCTCACTCCTAACGTCCGACCGGGGTTCAGTTACCGCTCCCTGTGTCTCCTGCCTGTTCACAGTCTGATTTATGTGAATTAAGCAGCTTACCAAGTCACCTGTTACTCCTCATAACTTAAGCTTAAACATAGCGAGTTTTAAAGATCTTAAAGTTTAGTATCAGAATTATTTTATTCCCAGTGTACAAAAAGTACAAGAAATTTGTCTGTGGCATGAGTATACAATTTAAATATGCTGTGAGGATAAATACACAACAAATAAATGGATTAACCAGAGATGGAGAAATAGAAAACTGTGCTATTAATAAAAAAAATAAACATGTAGACGTAAATAAGGGTGAGACAAGATGTAGGGTACAGAGAGCTTTGGAATATGTGCAGTTGAGCTTACAGAGGGAACAGGAGTGTAATGTGCGGTCGGTGACTACTGACTAATATGGAAGGTCCCGCAAGTGCCAGTGAGCCTCTCAGCTTCCTAAGTCATCGGTTACTTTTTATAACACATGAAAACGTAAATGTAGCGAGTCTTTTAAATGTTCTGGCTATGTTAGTATTTAGTTTATGTCTACTTTCCCACTCTTTAAGTTCTTAAAGTTGAACTGCATTCATAGCTTTTAGCTTAATCTAAATGTTGTTTATTGTAACTATAAAAACAGCAAGTTGTTTAATTGGCCGATTCCCAAGAAGTCCATGATTGTCTTCCTCAGACTGCTTATGGTTATTTTATAATATATAAACACTTTCAGTTTAATTTAGCTGTGATTAGTTAGTTATGTAATGTTGCAGAAGCTTACCTCCTGTGAAATAGGCTAATAAAAACTTTTTAGTAACTTTTAATAACTGTAATAACTGTTGTGTCACCATAACTGGACACATGTGTGAATCCCAGATTTGTCCCAGTCCTGATTTTGATAGGGCAGGTGAGTCAGGGTTGTGAGGCATTACCAGTTCCAGTAAGATGCAGAAATATGCTCTATGTTGAACAAGTGTGTGATGCTTAACTCTGTGGATCTAATCAATCTAATCAATGTGCTAGTCAGGAATTGACAAAATATTGGATATGTTATGTGGAAGTTTTTTTTTTCTTTTAGAACATTGCAGCAGATTGTCCTTTGAGGTCAATGTACACATAGATATTAATGGGTAGATAAAGACCTTTGTTGTCTTAAATGAGTCAGTCATGGGCCACCCATTGAACCCATTGGAATTGGGCCAGCTTGTAATGGATGGTTCTAGAACTATGGGAGTGGACAGGCAAGAATGGGAAATGCTGTTTTGGTTTTAAGCTGACACCTCCACAGACTGCTGTTAAAATGTACAATATGTAGAGTCAGATCACGGTGAGGAAAAATAATTGGCTTAAGTCAGGTTACTATACTTTGGAGTACCTTGGGCTGATGGTCACACATTCTCTGTCACAGGCCTTTGGGCAGTTTGATGCAGAAGGAGACGGCATTGTTGATGTGGAGAACATGCTGATGGTGCTGAAGAGTTGCAATGGAGCCAATCTGCAGGGAGAGCTGAGTCACGTGATCCGGCAGTTACAGGCCTGCTCCCTCACACCAGGTACCGTGGCTGTGGGAGGGTAGAGGGGCGCTGTTACCTCATGGGGTCAAATCTGACCCTGCCATCTCTGGCTGTGTGCCTTTTGCACACCCTCCCCATTGATGTCTATTGGGAACTGTGGTTTCTTTTCACCCGGTTTGATGTGAACTTTTCCTTAGTTGGTGTCTGGGTGTGTGAATGTGTGGGTATAACATATACATACCCGCTCTTCGAAGGCAGGGTTAATCTGTGGTCCCTGGTTGTCACAGACCCTGATAGGAGAGGCGACTCTCCAATGCTGACGGCCACTAGTTTGTTTGCAGACACAGGCCCTGTCCTATTGCTCCTTGTCATTCAGACACAGGCCCTGTCCTGTTGCTCCTTGTCATTCAGACACAGGCTCTGTCCTGTTGCTCCTTGTCATTGACACAGGCCCTGTCCTATTGCTCCTTGTCATTCAGACACAGGCCCTGTCCTGTTGCTCCTTGTCATTCAGACACAGGCCCTGTCCTATTGCTCCTTGTCATTCAGACACAGGCCCTGTCCTGTTGCTCCTTGTCATTCAGACACAGGCCCTGTCCTATTGCTCCTTGTCATTCAGACACAGGCCCTGTCCTGTTGCTCCTTGTC